AAACATAAGACAATATTTAAAAAATAAAGTAATAATGGACTATAACACATATATTAGACTGGACTGGTCTAGACCTAGTTAGTGCATACACATAATACAAGCATGAGGTAATTTCAATTATCTACATGTAGCTAATAAAAGCAATACCTGAGTTATTAAAGTCCCAGCCACAACCGACACAGGTCAGGCTAGACTACAATAAACATAAGCTAGATCTAGATAATACTAGATAAGATTAAACAAGCCGCCATGACAGCGATGCTTAGGCGCAGCCATCTTTTACATTAAAAAGTAGGACAAAATGCCAACTTAAATAGAGTGGTTATCCTAACGATAAAAATATTAATAAAAATACATAGGAAACATAAAATAATAAAATATTTACACATAGACATAGTATAGGAAAGCAAAAAGCATTAAGGATGACGCAAGGGGGGGTGACACTACCCAAGTCTACAGAACTTCCGGCTCCATCAGAGGTAATCATGGCTAATTAACTAGTGATGCCACTACACTAATCAGTCTGCATCTAGACTATAGCAATAGATGCAGAAACAATCAATACAAATACAAACGAAAGAAAGCAAAAATAAAAACCTTTTCCAACTTACAAGCGGTCCCAGATGAAATTTCACTACACAAAAATAACTTTATACAGGCACCACTGTCAGCACTGACCACTGGTCAAGACAAAAGAGAGCTCAACGTGGTCCCGGAGCTAGCTATAACTGGTCAGCGCGAACATATAGGAGAGCATGACGTCACGCTAATTATCTAAAAGTAAACTGGACTACCGATTTCCCTAATTTGTACCTAGCCTTACACAACAATAAAATCTAGCAAATTACTAAAGACACGGACTACACAACATTATATACCAAATTAAACAGCATTAAAAAAGAGAATCTTAAAATTTAAATCTACAAAATACAAAAAGGAAGATAAAAAGTTATTTCTATTCTTAACTTATATGGGGGCTCTATACCGTTTACAGACCTGCACATAAACTGATAAAAAAAAAATAACAACCAATCCAACGCTAATGCCAAAGACAAAAATAAGCAAAACTAACCAGGGACAAAAAATAGGAAATAACATCCACAGCTCTAAGGCTAGTTAACTATTTTAAAAACTACTTTTCCTCTACGAGTAAAACACAAATAACAGAAAAAGACTAAAACTAGCAGAAAGTTACAAATAGCGGAAATTACAAAATACTCAGCACTGAACTATAAAAATTAAAAAGGACGCTAAATTACAAACATCATAGCCCTGGCCTATATAAATAATATAAATTAGATAAAATTAGGTCAAAAATTAGATCTAGGAGCGCCAGCTCACGTGTATGAATTCATCAATCTGCACCTTTCAGACCTTGCAATCTATAAACAGATGCTGTAATGATCATCTTTTTCTGTGACCCACGGTTGACAAGGGTGTCATGTGGCCAGCAGAACGACCAACTGCATATACTTTCATGCACCCAACTTTTGTCAGGTACCCCATGTGTGTATTTGTTTAGCGTTATCTCCCTTCCTTCTCTCCCAAAATTAGATATAGGTTTGAAATAAGATAACAATGTGGACAATATTTGTACTTCTTTAATAACAGGATATTCTGGTCGACAATTAAATATCTCGTGGAATATTTAATCCCATCTACCAATTAGTATATGTAGAATTAATTGCAGTTTTAAGAATTCGGTTTAACAATAAGTCATTCTAAAATGTTAATGCAACACCGACCTACATTTCTAAGTAAAAGTCTAAGCCCAGGCAGTGCATTGTAGGGAGGGGGGGGGGGGGGTAATGACCGAGTGGTAAAATCTTGGCTTCTGAACCGAGAGTTCTCGAGTTCAAATCTTGGTGAAGACTGGAAGTTGGAACATTGAGAATTTCAGGGCTCACGTGCATGAACTACTCTGGGTAAGTAAAGGCGGTTGGTCGTTGTGTTGGCCACATGAAAGGGGTACCTTCTTTTGTTTGTTTTTTCATCTTTTTTTTTTTTTGTTGCATGTTAAGCTTTTACCAAATTTTTGTCTTTACTGTCTTTTTTTTTTTTTTGTATATATTACCTGACGAAGCGTGAAGTGTGCGACTCAGAGATAGACGTATCTGTGTCATCCAGCAATGACCATGTTAATGGCGTGGATAGACAGATTGACTTGCCTACTGTCAACTCACCTCTGATGTCACTACAGGTAAGCACTTGTGTGGCACACGCCAATATCAGGTGTGACCTTTTTTATTTAAAAACAAATCCGTTAATACGCTTATGCACAGTCATAGATGACATTGTAAATATGGATTTTTGTATTTTCTTTTGCCAAGTCAACCTAAGCGCTTCCTAGTGTAGAAAGCAGTAGAGAGACATAATATATACTATTTATACCGGAGAGCTTAGGCATTGATACTCAGGGGGAGATAAGTGATACACCAGGTTGAAATCACTTATGGGGTGATAGTATCAACTGCTGGATCAAATAAAAAGTACCTATCTAAAGGCCTATGTTGAGTTTGATCGTAATAACAGAGATCCAAATATATAGACTGGCCAACGAGACGATTTGTATTCGCTCTTTCCATAGCTTATATCAACTCACTGTACCTGTCGAAAAGTTTGAATATGTTATTTCTCCCTCACCTATTCTCGGATCAAGTTGAAATTGGATCCAAGAGTGGATGTGGGAGAAATAACGGGTAGTAACGCTAGAGGGGACAAAACCCCATATCGCTTAATACTGAAGGATTAATTTGCCTTGTTGGTATCAAACGAAATAAATAATTACCAGAAATTAATTGACTTTTTAAAAAATCAATTCGTGTCAGGTACAATAAGAAAAAAAATTTTGAAAGTTTCAACGTAATCCGAGAAGGGGGTGTGGGAGAAATAACGTGGTCAAAATGTTTACCACACAGAAAGTGTGAGTTGATAAAAGCTTTGTAAAAAACAAAAAAGAAAAAGATTCTCTTCTTTTATATTGTGTACAATATGGGCCTAAGAACTGCGAGAAAAACATTTTAATGGTTATTTTTTAAATTTTAAGATGCTAATTAGTAGAGGCACAACTAGTGCTATCAATTCCTTTTATTGTTCACATTTATTTGTAGAAATCCGATTTCCTCTGAAATGAATTGCGCATAATCCTCAGTTATTTGTATTATGAGTTTATAGGCCGACAGTTTTGTTGTTTTTTAACTCTTGCCCACATATTCCACATTAGCTCTTTTAACTCATACACTTTTCTTCGACTCCCAAACTTTTTAGGAACGAAGTGTGTTCGATTACCCCGAGCTTAATGACGTCATCAAAGAAGCTCAGTGCAATTGGCGCCGTGGCTCCAATGGCCCCAGACTGGACATTCAGAGGGCCATGAGCCACAAGCACCTCCAAGACAGTCAAGCTATGCGCCTCTACCACTTCCGGCACCTGACCTCGGCGGGCGACTCCCAGGGCATAACCAGGTCATTCTCTGACAGCCACGTTAAGAGCCTCCCTTCTCGACAGAGGGCGCCGTCATCCTGCTCCATCAGGGGCTCCAGCTCCAAAAGCTCTCGACTGTCCGAGCTGAATAACTGCGAGGCCCATTTCGATCCCCTGTTGGAGGTTAGTGTTGCTGACAATGTTGGAACTCAAGAAGACATTGAAAACACTGTAGAAAAGAAGATATTTCACATAGACTCTGACAGCGAGGCTGGTGATTTGATCAGCGACTTACATTTAGAAAATCGGCATTATCTCCGACACATACTTGATCCTTTGTGCAGCCGTAAGCATCATGAAACAAACTGTAATGGCTTGTTAAACTTTGAGCTACTCGTCGAGTCACCAAAGTGCTCCAACCAATCAAACAAAGTCACACTTGAGAGTGGGAACCACGTGGAATTAGCAACGAATCAGCGAAACGGAGACATGTGCTCGAAACTAAACGAAGCCTTCATTCAAAACACCGTGCCAGCAGATTGTGGTTACGTAAGTGAAGAAAAGGATGTGATTGGGTCCAACCAGGAAAGCGATTCGCTGTCATCCCCGACGAGCCCGCCTAAATATCCGCAAAGGAGGTCACTCAAACGGCGGAGCAAAAGCTCGTTCAGGTCAATCGCCTCATCCATCTCAGCGGCGAGTTTCAGATTTTCCAGAAGCTTCCGGCAGATCAGCAGAACCAGTAGCCACAGAAGTAGCAAAAGATCAGGGGACAGCACAAGCATGGACGCCGACAGCAATGGCTTCGTGCCAGAAGATGATGAATCGGTGATAGACGCATTTAAACCAAAGAGAAATAGGTCAAGGAAAACTGACCCAGATGAAAAAGATAGTATCAGTATATACTAAAATAAATGATTTGTTAATGTTGGTAACATCACCAAATATGAAGTTGTTAACTATGTGAAATGTCTCTTTAAAAAAATATATTTTATATGTGAATGTCTTTCACTTATGAGTCTCAAGAGGCCCAACTTTGGCCGACACGACAAAAACTTGTTGCAATAATCAGGAATGTCTACCTCTAGACATCCATTTGTACAATCTGTATCAACATAGACAATTGCTTAGTGGAACATTTCTACCGACTTCTAGTTCTAGTATTTAAAATAGAAAACTGTATTATTGAGTGTGATTTGTATTTATATGTTTACACTAGATATATGTAATTACATACATACCGGGTATATAAAAAGAAAGAGATGAGAGGGGAGAGGAGTGAGAAGAGATTTTATTCGAAACTAATGTAGTCTATATAAAACTATGAAATAATTAAAAACGGAACCATCTCTTTCTAAACCTAAATTTTTTAAAAAATGCAGCATTGATTTGCTAATGACATTTCTGGAAACATTCACGATTGCTTTTCATATTCTTATTGTGTATCAAACTTGCAAAGTGGCATAATTATCCCCCATTAGTGACGTGTAAGAATGGTATTGCAGATGGACACAATTATCTGTCCATTAATGACGTTTCAATTCATGAGAAGTCAAAACTATTATGAACTTTATACCCCCCCCCCCCCCCCAAATGTTTTCAAAAAAATAGCCGTTGTAATGAGCTGTCCACAGCTGTTGCCTGCACAGTTCAAACTCTCGTTTTATGTTATACATGTATAATGTGTTCTATGGATACGATAGGAGGAGATCATTCTCAGTCAAAAACTCATGTACAAATATTATTGATAAATAAAAATTTTCAAATGATATAGATCCAGATGTCAGAGTTTTAATTTTTATTATATCATGAATGTGTGACGCTCTTTCACTGCTCTCTGAAAATACAGACAATAGAGACGCGGATCAAAGACTATTGCCAGCCATATGTGAATATGCCAATACCTTTCATTGGTTTATTTCTTTTGAGCAAATATATTGGGAGAGACCAACAATGCAGGCGTGCCGCTGTCGTATGACAAAATAACTATTGAGAAATTGTTCCGTCCAAACGTTCTTTGTTTTACTTGGTCCCGCTGGGTCACATATCTGCATGTTTATTGTATGCGAAATTGTTGTAGGTAAAGACATGTGTAACACGTAATGGCTTGTAATGCCATTGAGAAGGCACTATTCAAATTCAAACCAGCATGTTGTTTCAACAGAATAATAGCCTAAAACAAGAAAAAAATGTCAAGAGTGCAGTTGCAACTTTGCAGACTTACTTTATCAGGAGAGAACAAGACATCAGCTCTAGAACTGGAATACATTGATACGTCTTTATGTTGAGCTTCCAGTAGCAATTGTAGACTGTAGACGTAACACCACTAGAGGATCCAGAAATTTTTTTTTGGGGTGGGGGGAGGGGGGGGAAGGTGCCTAACCCTAGCCCTAGCAACGTACACAAAACGAATAGAGTGGATTCTAGTGAGTGAGTTGAAGGGGTTAAAGTTATTTATGAAGTAGAAAAATCTGAGAAAACATATAGCACCTCTCTCACTGTCACACATGGTACCGTCCGGCGTCTTTATTTTTAGATTTGCTAAGGATTGAATTTGAGATTAGAGTGCGGTGCGACATAATATATAAATGGGTTTAGATATCAATAACTAGCATTTATTGTTTAAAAAACAACAACTGCGACGGGTATATTATAATGAACAGTGTAAATGATCATTAACTATATACAACCTTGACTGCTCGACAGTGTTATATGGTCTGGACGTGGATAAGTAAATATGTTTGTTTTGTGCATTGTTCTAAGTTAAATAATAATTCGAATATAGGCCTACTAATGTAACAAAAAAATATCGAAAAAAAAAATAGAAAAAGATACTATGGCATATTATACATTTCTAAAGTGAAGTGAACATATAAAAATAGATTTAATGTGACCAGGCGTGCCTTACATAGGCGGGAAAGCCCCGCGTTGTAATAAAATACAATTGTTTTCAAAAGCAAATTCATTGATTTAGAATTTAGCAGAAGTTTGGGCTAGGACGAAGTGGTTAGATCTGAAGCCTTCGGTGGAAGACAATTTAAATTATATCTTGCTTTGAAATTTCATATTTCTTTTATCAAAAGAAGTGTCCCGCCATATTCAAACGCTTCTATGAAAACCCATGGGCTGAATTGTGGCTGCATTTTGTAAACAACATAGCGACAATATTCCATGTAGAAGTTCTTATTATCGAGGAATGAAGTATGTTCTTTCATTGACAAATTGCAGAGACGTAGCTATGGTGGGGGAAGGAAGGGGGAATTTGAAAATCCCCCCAGGCCCCAACATGAAGGGGTGTCCCCAAATGAGTGTTTTTTACATTAAATATTAAATATTACGCAGAATGCAGGGGTCCCCAAAGAGGTCAAGCCTCTGGGTCCCCAAATGATTGCAAATTCCTATGGCTACGTCACTGAGAAAAAAAAATTGGTTCAGAAATGCATGAAAAGAAGCATGAAAACTTTAAAAAGTTCCTCCTCAAAGATGTGCACATGCGACTTACTATTCTGGATGGCGCGAGCTGGACAGAAAAAGTGATGCGCTAGCGACAATTGTAAACTTTTACGAAAATTTTGCCTAGTATTATTTTGGAGAAAGAAGCTGCCTTATTTGACAGGTTAACGCTTTCAGATGGATGACACTGCAAGATGATCTATCTTGGAAAACATTTCAGGCAGCCTGCAATTATTTAAATTATTGTATAGGCCTACATTGCGCGTAAATTGTGTGTGTGTGTACATGCTGGCTTGGTTTACTAGCTTCAAAGCTGTTCAAAGCAATATACTAGCTTCAAAGGTGTTCAAAGCAATATACTAGCTTCAAAGGTGTTCAAAGCAATATACTAGCTTCAAAGGTGTTCAAAGCAATATACTAGCTTCAAAGCTGTTAAAAGCAATATACTAGCTTCAAAGCTGTTCAAAGCAATATACTAGCTTCAAAGCTGTTAAAAGCAATATACTAGCTTCAAAGGTGTTCAAAGCAATATACTAGCTTCAAAGCTGTTCAAAGCAATATACTAGCTTCAAAGGTGTTCAAAGCAATATACTAGCTTCAAAGGTGTTCAAAGCAATATACTAGCTTCAAAGGTGTTCAAAGCAATATACTAGCTTCAAAGGTGTTCAAAGCAATATACTAGCTTCAAAGGTGTTCAAAGCAATATACTAGCTTCAAAGCTGTTCAAAGCAATATACTAGCTTCAAAGCTGTTAAAAGCAATATATTGCTCGAAAAAAAATTAAGCCTTTTCTTTTTACGGCCGATGTGTCAAGCTTTCGCTACCCAAATGGTCACCTCATATAGATATGTCTAAACAGGTGAGTTTTCTGAAAATATTATATCAATACATTGATGAATTAGGCTATATGTCTATTATTCAGTAGCCTATTTAATTAGTTAATGTCCTATGCGCTATAGACCTTAATTTGTTTTGTCTTTAACTATAAATAATATAAACTACGGTATTTTGTTTATCAACTTCCTCAAAAATATTTTCTTTGTTGGGGTAAAAAAAAACTATAATACACCAAAGGATTCAAAGATCCCAAATCGGCTCAACATCATTCAACGTCATATTATGGATTGTGGTTGTACAATGGTTGTACAGAAAGTGAAAAGTTTTAAAACTTTTGACATTTAGTTTCAACACGATTTAAAACCAGATCATTAATTTTTAGTACGATACTTTCAATTTTAACTATTGTTTCGTTATTTAGATTAGTCAAAGACTTATGATTGTGGATGTACACAAAGAAGGAATAACTTGGCTACTGATCCATGGTTTCATGGATTGAGATTGTATAGACCTCTATTACTTTGTAAACAAAAAATGATGCTAATAACATTTCTAGGGATTGCCCTTTTGCGTTAATGATTACCTTTAAAAATGATTTCATAAAACAAGAGGTAATTAAAATGAGTTCAGTAAGTTCAGAAATCTAGACTATACTTACTACTAGATTCTACTCCTAGGTCACTAAGTCTAAGATAGAGTAGAGGTACTAGAGTAGACTTGTATGAAAAAATTTATGATGATACTGATAGACTTACACTTAGACTTAGATTCTAAGTTAGAAGTTAGACTAGAAAAAGTTTAAAGTAGAGTGATTCTTAGACGACTTAGTGACCCTAAATCTAGGATTCTAGGCCAACTGTCTATAGAGTCTAATCACTAGATTAATTAGATAATTGTCACTAGATTGATTATCTTATCTTATATAATACAGATGTTACTTCAAAAAAGAAGATGATTACGTCCTACGCGTCATGCATATTAACCAATGACTTAAATTCTGCCAAGACACTGGTTTTCCTGGTTAGTTCAGGCAACCCATTCCATGCTCTAATAGCACCAGGGAAGAAGGAGTATTTGAACTTGTACAAATTTGTCCTAGCATATGGGACGAGGAATGTGCCTTTATCTTTGTGTCTTTCAGAGTATTTTATTAAATTTTGTATTTGAAGATTATGGTTCAGTGTTTTATGTATAATTGCTACTTTACTTTTGAGTCTTCTGTCCTGAAGGCTTTCTAAATTTAGTGATTTTACTATAGGTGTTACTCTAGTCAAATGTGAATATTCATTTGTTATGAATCTCACTGCTCTATTTTGTGTCTGTTCCAGTTTCTTAATGTTTTCTTGAGTTGAGGGGTCCCAAACGGAGGATGCATATTCTATTATTGGCCTAACCTAGGTTAAATAACATTTTAGTTTTATGTTCTTATTTGATTTATAGAAATTTTTTTAAATAAATCCTAATGCTTTGTTTGATTTTTTATAATTTCATCAATATGTGGATTCCATGACAGTTTTTCATTTATTATAACACCTAGGTATTTTGCGTTTTTAGTCTGTGTTACTGGTTTGCCATGATTAAGATAAGTGGAATTAATTTGTTTTAGTTTTTTGTTACTCTTAACAACTGACATTTTTCTGGGTGGAAAGACATGCTCCAATTTGATTCCCATTTCTGTAATTCATCTAATTCTCTTTGTAAAATATCTGTGTCTTTTGTTGTTTTTATTGTTCTATATATTATGCAATCGTCTGCAAATAATCTGACTTTTGTTCCTGAAGTAATGCAATTTGGTAAATCATTTATGTAAATTAAAAATAGTAGTGGACCCAAGACTGTTCCTTGAGGTACACCTGAGTTTACTGTTATCGGTGTTGATGTAGAGCCATTTATTATTACAGTTTGTTCTCTACCTATCAGAAAATCTTTAATCCACTGATGCAGTGGACCATTAATGCCAAAATATTTTAAATTTTTAAGCAAACTATGGTGGTGAACTTTGTCAAAAGCCTTAGAAAAATCTAGTAAGATAGCATCTATTTGTTCACTATTATCTAAACCTTTAGAAAAATCATCAATTAGTCCTATTAGTTGTGTTTCACATGATCTATATTTCCTAAAGCCATGTTGGTATGGTGTAAGGACATTTTGTTTGTCTAAGTGGTTTATGATGTTGCTACATATTATGTGTTCTAGGATTTTACATGTGATACTGGTCTGTAGTTTCCTGGGTCAGATTTTTCTCCTTCTTTAAATAGGGGGGTGACATTAGCTTCTTTCCAGTCCTTTGGTACTCTGCCCTGGTTAAGTGAAGCCTGAAAGAGTATTTTGAACACTGGGGCTAGCTCATTGCTTAGTTCTTTGTGTAATCTAGCTGGAATACCATCAGGTCCAGACGCTTTATTTGGTTTGGTGTTGGCTAATAGTTTTTGAATTCCATTTTCTTGTACTACTATATCTTCTATGTTGTCTACTTGGTTCAAATTCAGTAA